TAAAAATTGCCTTTCATAATGTAATCCTTTATTATATTATAAATACATCTTTTTAGCATATAATATAATCATTATAATGAAAATAGAGACGAAAATGATAGTTTAAATACATGATAGTGTGAATTATTGAAGAAACGTGGACTTATTAAAGTTCATATTATACTCATAAAGCGTGAAGCACATATCTACAAGCGATTGTAACATCACTATTTTTTATATTATCTCTGATGCCTATAAAGTGTCTTTTACTATTTTTTATTTTAGTCCTTAAATTATCTACAGTCATTTGTAATTTATTTTAGACATTTTATTTGTATTTTTTTTTTTTTTTTTTTTTTTTTTTTTTTTTTTTTTTTTTTAATTACATTACTTACTCCTAGTTTATTGTTCTAATTGTTTAAGTATGCTGTTGAAAGACTTCTCAAAATGGGCTAAATTTCATGTAATTATTATTCTCATAGTCGCAAGTGCAATTTCCTCCTGTATATACGTGGATCACTTAAATTTTTCTTGATTCTATTATTATAATTTAATTAATTAATACGCTGCATTTGATTTTATACGGTAGTGGAATATTCTTATAAAATATGTAATAAAATCAATGATTGATTTGATTTTTTAAAATTCATTAGAAGTTGTTGGTGACAGCATGTGTGTTTTACGTTAGTTTTTACGTCTCTGTTACATTTGAATGAAAACAATATTTTTCATCATAATTTTATTGTTTAATTAACGTGTTTGAACAATCAGTACAGATACATTATTTTATGTTACATTTAAATTTTACTACGAGTATCTAAAACAAATTATAATTTCAATAATTTGGTATAAAATTACACGACGTTCAAAAATACACAAGAATATCAAATATTTAATTACCATAAATATGAAAATAATATTAATAAATGTTTTCGAAAAGATCCATTAAAAAGGCTTTGATTTATTGTTGGCTTGACAGATTTTAAAAATACATTTTGTTATGAAATATCGATTTAAATCTTTTATTTTTAAATTTATTTTACTTTACTTCATTTATATTTTAATAGAATATATTATCTATGTGATCGTCATTAATAAATTCAAGATTTTTTTTAAGTATATAGTATTGAATGTTTAACAACATTTCTAATATACAGTTAAATAATTTATAATAAACTCAAGTTTCTTGATATGTATAATAAAATATCATGATAATGTCTTACAGTCAATATCAAATTGACGTATATTTGTTTGTATATGTTATGTATATGTATAATATGATATAAGTTATATAATTTATATATGTGTATATATTCTTATAAATATTTAAGAAATACTACTGAATTACGTATGCCATTAATTATAATTTAATTCATATTAAATTTGATTTTTTTTTTTTAAAAAAAGAAAAATTATGTCAAAGAATAAATGATAATTTAAACTAATTGGCTTGTTAACTAATGCAATAATTGTTAGTTGAAATAATTGTTTTTAAACAGATCTTACGAGGTATTTCAGTCTTCTTGTATAAAAACTGTATAATAAATATTATTTTTTTTTTTTTTTTTTTGAATTTTTGTTTAAAGTTAATCGAATCGTCATAAGAATTGATTTTTGTATTGAACAACAATTCTTTTTCATTTGAAAATATATAAAAATTTGTAATTCCAGGTCCGTCCAAACTCGGACCTTCTCTACTTTAAGTAAAAAGTTCGACAATGTATATCGTTTTTTATTTACATGAAATATGAGCGATTGATTAAAGAATAAAAATGGTAGTAATGTTAAAAGATTATATTTTGATAAAATTAGTAGCGTCTGGTTAACTCGATTTCATTCGTCTTTATCGACCTTTTTTCACGGATACATAAAAGATTCATGCTTGTATGTACGATGCCCGCATTCTTTTCTTATTATTGTACATTTCGTTGTGAATGCGTTTCGAATTTTCTTTCATTTACTCAAATCATTTTTATTATATTTCAATGTCTAAAAACTTATATAACTTATAATACTGGTATTAAGATATGAAATTGATAATAATTTAAGGATTGTCGAGAAAATTGGAAGGTGGAGTAAATATTGTATCTATAAGAATGAAAATTAGACCCATTCTCGGAAATTAAATAAAACAAGTTACAATACTTTTAAAAATAGTAAATACTAGTATTCAGTTGAATTTGCAATTTAATTTAATGTACTATATAAATTATTATATCAATAATCGGATCTTATATTTATAATTAAATTGCATTTAAAATAAATTATTAGTCATTCACTTATTAAAAACGATTATACATAAGTGTATAATAGTATAATTGGAAAACTTAATCAACTTAATATTTACTTTTCAAATTAATTATATTATTTATATATAATTGGTATATTTAAATTTTCTATTATAAATTTTCGATTATTATTATAAATGTAGAATATCACAAATTATAAAATAATCGTAAATAATCGTGATATTACATAATGAAATTTTGAAATTACAGAACATACATTAGTTTAATTATAATTTTCTAATACAATATAGAAAATAAGTAAATCGCATTATAAAATATGCGATAGTAAAATAATATATTTTTTATGAATGTTTCCGAAAATTTAATTCAATTACAGAATTCATATTCATTAGCATAAAATGATAAATCAATTGGATTTCGCTCGATATATTTCGTGAGCATTGTTTTATATATTATATTGTTACTCTAATGATATTTAAATTCCATTGAGTAGTGCAAATAATTGTTCATATAATTCAATGAAATTCCTAACCAGTTAAAAATATGTATCCCTTTAAAGAAATATTTAATATTCAGAGTTTTCACAACAATACGTTCTGTTCATATTATTTTGTGTTAGAATTAATTATATTGAATATTAAAATAAGAAAAGCCATACTTTCGTTTGAAATTTTACTTTAACGTAAAATTAAATATATTAACTACTTAAATTTTACTAAAATACCTGAAATGAAATATAATTAAAAAAAATGAGATTTATTTCTAATTTGTTATTATAAATAAATTAGTTTATTTCAAGATATTAATAAAAGAAATTTTTGTATTCAAATAGTCTATGTTAAAGTTTGCATGTGGTATTATATTTCTATCGATATGATTTTCTTTGATTATCAGCTTCAATAGTTTTAACGCATTTTCTTCTGCTCTTAATGGACCATTATTAAATTTTTACATTAATATATGCATATATATATATATATATATATATATATATATACACACACGCACACACACACACACACATATATATATACACACACATATATTCAACTAAATATTCGATACTTTTAATAATATGTCCTTAAAGCAGTATTACATTATTATTAATATTTACATAAATACAAAATGTTATATATTAAATAATACAATTAATAATTATAATTAATTATATTTTAGATTCTTTATACTAAATATTTCTAATATCAATATACGTGGTCATCGATGACGAATATTCCTGTATTTTTAATTAATAATTTTATCATTTTTATTATACTAATAATAATGTAATAGTACTAATAAAATATAATTTTTAGTTAATAATTGAATAAGATTCATTTCTAATGTTGAAAGGGAGCCACTATGAATAGCATTACGTCCTCGGTCATAACGTTAATATTAAGGAAAGGGATTTATTCAATTCTACTGATTATATATTTAAGTAATATATTTAACAACATTTACATTATATATATATATTTGCCAATTTTATTTAAAAACATTTTTTTTTTTAATATTATCCATGGAAATGAATAGTAAGTATTTGAATTGAGCAATATCTGCAATTGAATTATTAGCTCGAAGGCGATAAAATATATTACTTATTAAAAGTTTGTATTTTTGAAAGAAGAATTGACTTTATTACAAAGTGAATGTTCAATGCTTAATACTAGGTAAATAAAGGTGTTTTTTTTTTTCATAAAATGTAATGGTAAAATATTTTCCAACATAAAAGCTGAAAGATAAGAGATAACGTTAATCTACTTTAACTATAGAATCGATAAGAATAATCTACTATAACTATTAAATATATTGCATTTCTGTTCAATATTATTATTAGAGATAATAATATGTCGACCACAAGAAAAATCTTAATAAAATCGAGAACTATTTCGCAAAATCTTGCTAAAGCAAGTTTCATTTCTAAAAATGTAGTTCACTGATAGTTTTGCCCCATGAAGCTTGTGGAAACATATGGCTTCCGACTACGGAAGTTTACGTCCAAGTTTTGCAGTCCACGTCCTTGTTTATGGCTATAATACAACGAGCATTCAGGCTGAAAAGCCTAAAAGAAACGATCAATTATTCAAATAAGACAGAATGAGGAAATAACGATGTCTCAAGAGGCAGTAAAAATAACAAACAGAATTTATTAAAATCCCATCCAAAGCAATTGCCGTACAACGTACGCTCGACATCCCCATACACTCCAGCTAGACAATCGCATATCTTTATGTGATTTTCATTAAATAAAAATGTCTTCCATTAAGGAATTCGACCTCTCTCTCTCTCTCTCTCTCTCTCTCTCTCTCTCTCTCTCTTTCTCTCATCATCTCTGCCACTCAGCTTTGTCTTAAAGCGTTCAGCCGAAGGAAGCGCCAGATTCGTTTGAACAAGACTTTCAGCCGATGTCAATTACTCCTCGCTGAGCACTCTCCCCATCTAAATAGTTCGAACATCCTTTATTGAGCCCCTCACGGGAGCCTCGTTCTTTTACTTCCGGTCAAGAACTTGGTGGAAGCTACGGGAAGGAGCGTCTCGGCTGGCTGGCTGCCTTCTGAAATCCAAGAGGACCCTCTGCGCGTCCAAGCCTTGAGAGCCACCCATTGTCGTCACAGGGACGGGGGAGGGGCGCTGTCGGAGGAAAGGGAGAACGATCGGGGCTTCGGCCCGTATTGATTGTCCGGATGGGGGCGTCTCGTGCGCGAGAGGACGCCTCCGTCGCGGTACCTCGACGCCGTCGCAGCAACGACGACTGCCTCAGCCAGAGCCTGGACGAGCGATGACGAGGGTCGGCTCCGAGGGGCTGCTCCTGCTGCTGCTGTTGCTCGGTTTCGCCGGACTCCGCGATGCCGACGCCAAGGCTTCATCCGAGGTGCTCTTTTATCGAGGTAAGATTCCAAGGCGAACTCAGCCCGGTTAGTGCGTCACTTGTCCCCAGCTCCAAAGTCCATATAATCCTTCGGATGACGTTTCTCATTAGCTGAGCGCGTGTTTTAAGTCGGCGGGATCGTGTGTCTTCGGACGCGATGAGTTCCCGATTGTAGCGATCGGCTGCCAGGTAATTGCGTCTCGATGCTAAATAATCAATTTTTCGTTGGTATTTTAGTTGTTTTGTTTATGAATGAATTGCTTGTCGAACGCTTGCGCCTCGCTTCACCTCAACGTGGAGACCTTAAGAGGCACTTAGGACGGAATTCCCGTGACGTCATATGACAATGTATCTCGCTTAAAATAAACACTTCTTTCTTCTCGCTTTGCTTTAGTCAATAATTCAAAGGACTGAATCAATCATCAGGTGATGTACGAAATTGCTATTTCTGTTTACGTATTAATCCAATCGTTGCTGAATAAATTTGAACGATCGAATGGCGCATTTGCTATTTCGTTTAGGCAAAATGAGCTTCAAGTTAATATCATTCACATATGAAATCTTTCTCCATCTACGGTGTACATAATTTTACATATATTAATTTTATGCAAAATATACATATATATGTATATATATATATATATATATATATTTTTCTTATCGATATGTTATTACATTATAAGTCAATTACGTAGTGAATGTATTATTTTAAACGAACATTCGATAGGCTAAAAGCAACTTGTAAATATTTTGTTCGTCAGATTTTTTTCTCATTATTTATTATATTCTAACATTATTTTTGTCATTATAAGTTATATTATTATTAATACTATTTATATTGTTGCTATCGTTATTTTTATTGTTATTATTATTGGTATTATTAATATTATAAATTTCTTAAACAATCTTTATAATAATAAAACTAATATTGAAAGGAAAATATAAATTTTTAAAGTATAACTTTCAATGTGCATCGTCACAATAATTGATTAATTTCATAAAACATTGTTTAAATTATTTTTTAAAATTAATTTTCGTAGACAAATTAACTCGTTATTGTAGCATTTTATTTTATTTTATTTAATTGATTTTTTATTTAATTTATTTTTCATTTCCAAAATTAGTCAGTATATGAACATGAAAAATTCTGTTAGTTATTTCTTGAATTTTTTTTTAGGGAAGAATGATTATTTATTAAATAATATCATTACGTTAGTGAATTTATAAAAGTGAATAATAAGTAAAAAACAGCTGGAAATATGTCAGTTTTGAAGGAATTTTATTTTGAATATTATTTCGAAATTTGTTATACATATTGAAAATGAAATAACTAAATTCATTTTATTTCTGTTTTTTTCTTTTTTTTCTTTTTATTTATGAAAATTGTAGAAATTATCGTAAACTATCTTTAAATTCAATGAAAATGTATATTTTATGAATTATTATACTATCATTTTTGCGGTTCGGTAAAACAAACTAAATGTATTAAATGTGAATTTCAGATGATAATAATAATCATAATAATAATAAAATTAAATGAAAATTAAAAATATACGAAAAATAAATATAATATTGAAATATATATTACACATAACATTATATAAATATATAACAAAACTTGTAATTATTATATGAAATATATATTTATTTAAAAACTTGGATTTGAAAATTTGGAATCTTTTTATTACAATTATTATTTATATTAATTTTTTATGAATTGGATAGATGAAATAACATATATGAAGTTATTTAATAATAATTTACTTTAACAATTTTTAATTTAATTTGTTAAATGTTAATTTCATTACAAAATTTTTGTTTTATTCGTATAAAAATTAGTCTTCATTATTTAGTTATTTCAGCAGTTTGTGACAAAAGTATTGAGAAATTGCAATTACAACAGATGCTTATTAGATTTAATTCCATTAAATTATATCTTTTATTGTTAATTGATTTAAAGAAAAGTTGACTAAATTAAAAAAAAACTTGAATTTAAAATTTTCTTCTCTTTAACATTCACTTTGATTTTATAAATAAATTATAAATTTGTTTTTATAATATTAGAATCGAAAATATATAATTACTGATGAATTAATAAAAAAGACCTTTAATAATTATTATATTTTTGAAATGCGTGATACAAATTACATTAAAAATTTGAAAATTTTTATATTTTAATGGCTCGTAATTGATATTACATATAACCTTTTTTAAATTTACTTTTATTGCAAGTATAGCATATTTTAAAAAACGTAGAATTATTTTCTGTTTGAACATGAACGTGGTTAAATAAACATAGAGTGTTCGATATTAACAAAATATTTATGATATAATAAAATAATTATAAACCATGATTTAGTTTTGAGATTATAAAATATTTACTAACTTTTGATTTTTATTATTAATACATTAGATTTCATTTGGTGACGAAGATTTTTAGGTTTATTACATTACTTTTATTTTTTACTTTCAGTTTTATATATCAAGAAAATTAATTGATACAATTCTCAGTTATAAATGGATTTAAGGTTCAGATAAATATTTTATTAAATAAATATATTTTTATATTTTATTAGATAAATATTAATATTTTTACGAATCCTAGTTATCGAATAATTATAAGTAAATAAATTAATAATTACCAAAGTATCCATATTTTCAATGATTTCTCTTATAATAATGTTTAATAAAAGTGAAAGTAAGAAAGTAACAAAGTTCGAAAATGGGACATGCGAGACAAATCTTTAATTGATGATGCAAATAACTTCTACATTCACTAAATATAATCGAGCATTCTTATGCAAAACTTATGAAATTTATCATTTAACATTTAAATTTCTTTCTACCTTACTACAAATTTAATATAGCTAATTCATAAATATTTTATTATCTCATTTATACTTTTCATTATGTAAACTGTGGTCTCTTTATAGAAAGTTTTTGTCGTCTCTATAAATATATAAAAAGTATACATATAATAAAATGCTATTAATGATACAATTTCGTATTGTTTAGTAATTATTGTTGTTGATAATCATGTAATTGTATTGTATAAAGTATTGAAAAAGTCAAATTAATGTATAAATATTTCTTATTATTATTAATTTTATTTTATGGAACTATTTAATACACATTTTGTTTATCATTTTCTTACTTTACGTGTGTGTATTAATGCATATATAAAGTATATTATTGGTTTTGATTTCAAAAATTTGAAAATTAAATGATCTTAATATGAAAAATATTACATCTTGTATCCATGAGGATAATTTGTTTTATTGATTTTTCAATATTTTTAGGCAATATTTATATATACATAAAACTGTAAAATAAGTAAAAGCATTTTTAGATCAGCTTTAATAGAATATATTTTTGTTTTTAGTTTTAAGTTCTTGTATAGTAGTATTTTTAAGTTTAGTTGAAATGTTTATAAGTGGCTTAAAGTATTGGTTTTGTTTCTCAAGGAACTTTTATGTTTTAAATTTTTAATCATTACTTATATTTATGCTTTAACGAGTATTGAAAACAGTTTGCAAGATATATATGTTAAATAAGAATGTTATTATGCTAAATTTAAGTAAGCTACATACACGCACACACACGCACACACACATATATATATATATATATATATATATATATATATATATATATATATGTATACAATTATATTTAATAGTTTATGAGAAAATAATAAAAAGTCTTTTCTATTTACGCAAAATATAGTTTTCCTTTTATTGAAATACACTTTGAGTGTTTTTGTCAGCCAAATTATATATAAAGAATATAATTGCGTGGATTTACGCACGCACACACGCACAGAAAAAAAGACACACATAAACACTTGTGTAGCTTATAGATATATATTTATAGATATAGAACATTACCCTTCGCATCGAGTAAGAGAAAAACTTGTGAAAATCAATAATCACGCATATTTGTATATATATTTGTATAATAAATTGTTAATTATATTATTCACAGATTATATAAATTATTAAAAATAAATAGTTGTACAATTTATCAATATAATTTTATCATTCAACTAATTAACTAATTAATTGTATGTATGTATAGTTAATGAACTAATTAACTATACATACATACAATTGATTTGTACAGTTACATTTACATTTTATTGAAACGTCAAGTGCTGTAAGTATGCAATTTACTTATTGCATATACAATATAAATAATATATTTTTTCTTAAATAATATACTATATTGCAATTTATTATTACACATTATATTCGATAAATATTGTACATTATAGAAATTCGGTGAATTTTATTTTCATTAAAAAATAGTTCGAGATTGTATTTTTCTCAGTAATTTATGCTCTTATTTAAGAGCATACATAGTTATATAGATAAAATAAATTCAATAACAACTTTGATAACTGATAATTGGAAATCTTTCTAATAGATATTAAAATTCGCATTTGTTTGCCTTCGTTTTCAATTTGACTTGTGAGCGTTCGTATATTGTGATAAATAAGTAATACATAAGCATATGAGTTTGTTTAGAGAATAATTGAGAATTTATTACATAATTCAGAATGAAAATATTATCGACATTGATTGTCCAATGTACTAATATAATAATTACCTTATGTCTAACATGTAAGAAAAAAATCAATCAACACCAATCGATAGGTTTATTATTAAAAAAATTAATGTTTCTTGAAATATCCATTTTTTGTACATTAATATTTTATTTATTTGTTCAATAGTATCTGATTGTAATACTCATTAGCGATGATTCAACGAATTTGTTATATTCGTAGTAGTTCCGAATTCGAGCAAATATGCGTGTACATTTGTCTATCAAAAATAGAAAGAGGAAAAGCGAAAACCGCTGTGGAGTTTAATATTCTAAATCAAATAATAAATCGCACAATTTTACCGAACATTAGAAGAGGTGTGCGTACAATGCTTAAAAAACGAAACGCTAAATTGTTGTAATGACTGCATCGTTAAATATGCACAATGCCTGCCGCAATCAATATTTCATTTTCAACAATGCTCACAACATTAGAGAAATTAAAATGATTTTCACCGATCTAGCTGACGACACCTTACGTCAGCAGTCCATTGCCTTTCGCCCCCGCGGCTTAATTCTTATATCGTTCGATCGCTATTCTTTCCAATTCTGCAATATAATTTATCGACGTGGGGGGAGGGAGAGGGTGTGTGTGGGTGTGTGCGTGCGCGTACGTGCGCGCACGAGAGAGAGAGAGAGAGAGAGTGAGAGATTGCGAAGGAGGGGGGAGGGGGTAATGCTTCTCACCAGAGACTAATATCTACACGAAATATTGAACACCCACAGATGGGGAGCCACGGCTATCGCCAGAGGTGAGGCTCGAGCGTCTGGTGCGCTTCCTGGAGGCTGCGGCTGCCCACTCCTCCGGCTCACAGCTACGTAAGCAACGTCTCTTGGAGTTGGCACGCACGAAGCTGCGGGGCCTTCTGAGGGACGACATGCCCGAGAGGCCCAGCATTATCGAGACTCTGCAACGCGACAGCACCGATCCGCTTCAGTATCTTCGCGAGCTCGAGAGGCAGCGACTGCTACCGTACCTGGAGTACGAGCCCAATTCTAGAATTAAGCCCTATTCGCTGGAGGATGCAGCCAGGGTAAGCCAATTAACTTTGTACTTATCCGCACGTCTTGGATGCTACGTCGGTGACAATGAGTGCGACATTATTTTTTTAAATTCTTAGACCGCGCTGGGGTGGCTTACGGATTCTAGGTTCGAGTCCTTAAATTGGCAGCTTTGTTGCAACCAAAGCATATCTTATTATTATAGAAATTAAGTTAGATTACCGAAAACTTATTTATGTGCTTAATGCAAAACTTATGCAAACGTTTTTAATGCATATAAAGCATGCACTTCCATACATATTAATTCGGCAACTTAAAGAGATCCGACGATTAAGAATTCTTAATTATACGTAAATGTAATGTTTCTGGTTATTTTTACGATTAAATTAAAATTATTCTTATTAAAAATGTAAAAATAGCCTATGACCAATTTATCACGTGCCTTCAATAATTTTTAACTTATTTTTCATAAAATTTGGAGAATACATTGATAGTTTAATTAAAATTTTTCGATTTGCCAATGTTCGTATAAACGACAATTTGATAATAATTTTTATTTCAAGCCTAATTATAAATTATAGTTATTAAAGTTACGTTTTCATGAATTCATAAAGTTTCTTCTCTCTCTTAATGTAGATTTTATAAATGCGTTTTCAATACATATTAAAACAAAACAAAAAAAGTAATATGTATAATTTACTAGATATTCGTTAAAAAAAAAAAAAAAAAAAAAAAAAAAAAAAAAATAGAATATTGACTATAAAGTAAATTATACAAAAAGTTCATACGAATAATATAATTATGTAAGATCAATGTCTCAATAGACTTCCTCATGTCATATACTTGAAAAGTAAAAGCTTCAAAAGAGTCGAAACTATGATATATAGTTATTTTGAAATAAAAATATATCATTTAGAAATTATATGAATATTAAACGAATAGAATGATAAATAACTAATGATAACGATTAACAACTAATAACTGAATAAACACGCTACAGCACAACAATTAACAATTATTATAAATAAATATTATCATGATTCATTATAAACATCTATTTCGTAAGTTAAAACATTTTTGTTTTGTCGTTTTAAACATTTTCATATCAATATAAGCATTGTAATTTCATATATTTTTACAGGATAAACGTTTGTATTTATTTTAAAAATTAATGAATAATTACGCGATATTGCATAAAATTTTACCAAAATATGTACAAACTGTTATGATTATTTTCGTTGTTGATTATTAACAACGAAACATAATTGTTGATTATTTATAGTTTTCGTTTCTTTATAAATTTTTTGCATTCAAAATTATTAATTAAATTTGTTGATGCCGAAAGTATTATCTACCCAATTTATGTAATCTTAATGATTAAAATAAGTTTCATTGAAGTATTCGAAGATAGTATGTACTTTATCATTACGTTTTGCATGCATATGAGAGCAAAATTTTCAAATGTAGAGTGACTTGAATTAAAAGAATGAAAAAAAAGTTTATTAACTTTTATCAAACGTAAGGGGACATTCTTTTATACGAGCTATAAGCTTGAAAAAGAGAAACTGCTCGCGAGATGAAAAAAGATGTTAACCAATCGCATCATTTTTTTTTTATTGACATTAGCAATAGCAAGCAATTATAAAAGAGAGAAGAAAAAAAAATTAAAAAAAAATTAAAAAAAAAAAATAATAAAAAAGACAGAAACAATAATCTTCAGATTTAGTTAGCTTTCATATATTTCTATATTTTAACTGTTATTAAATGTCAAATAAGCATATAATTTTCTTGAATTATTTTAAAAATTGACGTTGAAATTCAAACAATAATCTTAAAAAAAATATGCTAATAAGATAATTAATATCTAAATTTTAAACGGTTTTATTTTCTTCAATAAGTATGTTAAAATAACAAATGTAATTTACTTTATAAATATTGTAATGTTTAATTGATTTCACATATATATATATTCGTAGATATGAAATTGACAATTATGTATCGTTATATTTCAATTTTTTATTCAATTTTTTAATACCTTACAAACTGTATTAGTTTCTACTGAGAATTGTACGATAATGATTTTTTTATGGTTTTATCGTGAATATCGCACATAACATTATAGAAAATTATTACAATTATTTTTCCCACTGTAAAAAACGTATAAAAGGTATTTTTTTACCGCCATAACTGCAGTATGTTGAAAAGAAATAAAATAATGAAAAAATATTATTGCACAAAAATTTATATATTAAAATTGTCTAACATTATTTACTCTCAGTTATTTATCTCAGTTATAATCGTGGATAGGTGATTTGCTATTATTTAAATTATAAATATTATTAAATAATTCTTTATTTGTTGCGTACGAATTAAAAATACAATACAAAAAATACGATTCGATTGATGAGTGTATAATTAAAATTAGCAAATTTATTAACTGTACGTAGAAATTTCATAAAATATTTTCTATTTAATAGAGCAATCCATCTATTATCAGAATCCAGATATATATATATATATATATATATATATATATATATATATATATATATATATATATATATATATATATATATATTATATATATATAATTTAGATAATAAATGTCTTTTACTTTGTGATCAATAATACGTTACGAATAATTTTGGCTATAAATTTCTTTAAAGTCCAAGTTCCACACGCTGTTCTACCAAAATCATAATTCTAATCCAATAGCAACGTAGGCGGGCCAATAGTCCTTTATCTGACATTTATAACCATTTGCAGGGATTCGCGTTTTCCAGTTTCGTTTTTCATTTGTCAATTTAAAATAAAGTCATTCGTTCGCTGATTAATTTTAAGGCCAGTAAGGCGCGAGTCGATGTGATTCGTCCTTAATCGACCGAAAGCCATTTCTATCGTCCAGAAATCCTGCATCCGTATTCAATTACCCGGTCCCGATGATCTCTTTTTCACGAACCCCCGAGTCACTAGATCCACCGAGTCGCACTTTTTCACTCACACACTGAACTCATGTATTTTTAAACTAATCAGACGCGAACGCAGGCAAGGCTGATGTCCGCTCCCCTGAGCAAAGATCCACTGCTGGACTACCCGGAGACGCACTACGCTGACCTCGAGCGGGCTCGCGAGCTGGAGAACGCACGTCGGATGGAGGAAGCCTATAGGCACAGACCCGCCTTCACTTACTCGTTCGACAAGCCCGAGCCAACGAGGGAGGGAGCGGATCCGCCCTTTGCCGTCCCGCCCAGCGATCCCCGATACTACCAGGATGAGCCCTTTCGCAAAGGTTGGCTAGAGCGTAATTTCAATTGAAAACGAGACGCTGATTTTCTTGCTTTCGGCCGTCTTTATTTATTTTCGGGAAAGGTAGCCGAGTCGAGAGCTGCCATTAAGCTGGTAAATTTTGTAGTACATTATGTATGATCCGATAATAGATGAGCGCGTGTGCGCAACTACTTGTCGACGTATGTAAATTACTTTCTATTAAATGAAATGAAACGACGAATGGTCATATGGGATGGCAATAATGCATATTTATTATTCCGTTGTCAGAATTTATACGAATATTTATGACGCTCGATTAATATTAGTTAAGATGATAGTAGAACGATCGTTTAATCCCAATGATTTATACATTAGCGATTATTTTCACGGAGAATTTTCATAATGGCCTATTTAAGAATATACTTTCACGTACGCAATATACATTCTTTTATGCTTACACATACATAGCAGCAAACATACAAACAAACAAACAAACAAACAGAAATTAATTTGTAAAAATTGTAAAATTTTACAAAGCTATTCTTAACAGCGCCTTTTTGAATTTACGACATGTAATTTATAAGATACGTAATTATCGCGAGAAAATAACGATATTTATGTTTGTTTGAAAATCATACATTTATCGGATTAGACGTTCGATGGAATATTTCATAAAATCGATGTGCGAATTCGTTTCAAAGTACCGTTTACTTCGCGACCAATTAATTATTCGAATAATCCGCGACATTTTTTCAAATACGATAGTAAGATTTTCATGGGATATGCACAGACGAGCCATACTCATAAAGCAATGCATAAGCTAATCAATGGCGACAAAAGAAAAAAAAAAAGAAAAAAAAAATTAATGACGATGATCGACATATTAGCATGGAGCAAACACTAAAATAACGTTATTAACTTATGGCTATGAAAGTCCTCCTCGTTACGAATGATCTAAGCTCGAGCCACTTGATCTTTAGCGTCGACAGAGAAGGTTCCAACTATCGATCAGAGAATAGCCGACCTCTCGGAGGCGGCAAGGGAGGTCCACTCCATCCAGCTCAAGCCTCAGCCAAAGCTGAAGCAGATGACGACGAGGACGCGAGACCCAATAGACGAGTACGCACCGATAGGCGGCATCCTGGAAATGAACGTCCTTCCGGAGCCACGGAGACGTGCCGAACAAGACCCCATCGTGATCTCCCTTGGTAATAGGCTCAACGATGACATTTACTTTATAGGTAAGATAACCTCGGATAGTGGCGCATTGTATGTCATTTGTAGAGTCAATTTTTTCAATTATTTGCCAATCAACAATGCCTTTACTCTATGTGAAATAGGAAGATGATGGAGATTTAAGAATAACGAGGAACGTCTCTCTATAAAAATTGCAACTTTCATCAAAATTCTTTTTGACATCTTTCTTCTTCCTTATTATTTTTTTCTTTTTCTCTTTCTTTTTTTTTTTTTTTTTTTTTTTTTTTTTATATAAAATTTTATTTTAACGTTGCATTTCCTTTAACATTAGCAATATCATTAAAACTGTTGATAAAGCATATATTAAGATGGGAGGTTTATTAAGAGCTTACGGTAGATGACGTAGAGACGGATAAGAGAAAAGATCTTATCATAATACGAAATTCCAAATGTGTAGATAGAGTAAAAGTATTTAGAAAGCTTTTCATTAAAATGTTATCGTTGCATTGAATTCGGCAATTGTCCCGTAATATAATTAGTCGCTCTAATTGGCATTATAAAAAAATATTCCACGACCTTTTATTCCAAATGTGTGAATCGACCGTTGCAGCAAATTCTTGATTAATATTTTCTTACTTGAATATATCAATAAGGAGTGATGAAACTTGAATTTCTAATGAGATGAATTTTTTGTTTTTAAACCAAATTGAATTGCCAATTACGAAACCATACATCTCCCGATAATTTCGTTATTAATATTAACATTATAATTTTAGCTATTGTTGCTGGATGCAGTGCTGCGGTAATGTTTGCTCTGGTGCTAATAAGCTTGACTTGGTGCAGGTAATTATTTTAATTAAAAATAGCAATTAATGTTATGTAGCACTTTTTTTTTTTTTTTTTTTTTTTTTTTTTTTTCAATATGTGCCCAACTGTATAACAAGACGATTTCTCGGGGGTTATTAAACCAACATTAAAAGAATATTAAAGACAATGTGAATTCAAAATTCTAACTTTTTTAAGTCAAAAGTATAAGGAGTATTTTTTCTTAATTCAAGAAGGTCGCTAATCTTAAATTCTATTCTTAATAAGTTAATCTTTATGTGTCAATATATTGGGTTGATAATGCCATGTAATTAAAAGTATATTCAAGTATTACGCGAAAAATGTTCAAAACCGATATAAGATAGTCTCTATAAAGTAGTAGTCTTTGATTTCTCCTAAATATAAATAATGTTAGATTCAGGCAATAAAAAGCTTTCATTGCCCTATGAATAAGTACGCGTATAAATTGAGTATAAAAGTAATGCGAATCCATTCTCATTATGACTGTTCAACTATCATCTTCCTTATGTTTTTTTCTTAAACTTGCCTCAGTGGCAAATGAATGGCGGATACTTCTGACGTCTATTTTTTAGTAAAGCATTATAACAAACATATTAGATATATGTTTACACAATAAATTTACACATTACAATAAAAATATTAGAAAAAAAAAATATTAGAAAATAAACTTGTATAAAAAAAATGTTGTTTCCTTTTCATTTTGGTTTTGGTTAATGGTCGATATAATTACATGACATATTAAAACAATTTCAATGCGATGTTTTTGCAAAATTAGACCTCTAACTGTACGCTCGTGCTTAAGGAAATTATATAGACCAGCGCTTTATTTATCTTTTAAAAATGTCAAAAGACTTCAGCGAATGTCGAAAGCAGCCGTAGATGTCGATTATCCAGCCTATGGAGTAACGGGTCCGAATAAAGATATTTCACCGTCGGGTGATCAGAGGCTGGCCCAATCTGCTCAAATGTATCATTTTCAGCATCATAAGCAGCAAATAATTGCAATGGAAAAGTGAGACTATGTTTTCATATTTTTTATAATTATTCCTCTTTCGCGGTTTAAGAATTTCAAAAATATTATCTTGGCTTAAATTATTGATATATATATATATATATATATATATTCATTAAGATGTTAAGTTTAAAATACGAGCAGTTTAATTTGAAAATAATCTTCATCAATTAACATGAAATTATATATTTATCGCACATTAACATTTACAGTAATTTCAATTATTGTTATTTTTATACCATAGGATTCGAGAATGTTTAAAGTTAAATTTCAAACTATAATTTTTATTTTACTTCAAATTTTAACAGCTATATTTCATATATAAATATATGACTTTTTTTTTAGCAGAGCATCGGCTACTCGAGACCCTGGATCAGTATCCGAAGCAGAAAGTGACGAAGAGAATGAAGAAGGTGATTACACGGTCTATGAATGTCCAGGACTTGCACCGGTTAGTATAAATGTTAAATTATTAATTTTTTCAGTACTCGATGAGAAATCGTTGTAAATGTGAAATTAATTAATTCTTACAAAAATACCTGCTTTTGCAATGATAATCACGAGTCCCGAAATAATTTGTCTAGTTAAGTGCTTATAATAATTTTATGCTTTATGATAATATTAAATTTATAAAAAAAAAAAAAACTTTAAAATAAAGAATTAGAGTTATTACTTAGAAGATTACTTAGAATTTTAATTTTTATTCTACAAATGGTTAATAATTAAGAACGAAGTGAGAAAAATAAATCTTCTTTGGATATTCATTCTCGTTAAAATATTAAAAAGTTTATATAAAAATTACAAATGGCAACGCTTAAATAAATTACACGGTAAAATAAATTAATTTGTACTAAAATTTATTATTATTGTAAGAACAATAATTGTTATTTGGATGTATAATAAATAATTGAAAATAATTAAATTTTAAGTGAAACAAACAATTGCTCAGTTATTCGCATTTAATATATATTATATTTATGCTACATTTCTTATTTTCTCATTGTAACGATTTATTAAACAATTATATTTCCTGCTTTGATTTGTAAATAGGTATAAGATAACACGTATATATATATATATATATATATATATATATATATATATATATTAAGTATGAAGTGAAGGGATGGATATTGAAATTATTGGTAAGAAGATGTAATATTTATTTTGACTGGACGCGATTCGTCAAAGTTGAAAATCCGGAGAGAAAATTTCTGAAAAATTATACTTCAAGTTATACTTGGCTAAGAGTTGAAATATTAAAAAATTGCTTGTAGACTGGCGAGATGGAGGTGAAAAATCCACTGTTCCATGACGATCCAACACCAGCCACACCGTCAAAATCGAAGAAAGAGGCCGATAACAGTGATGACAACAATGTCTAGTTCCCGGACGTCCAGCCCAAAGTAACGTCCAGCAACCAAGATAAATGACACCTAAGCGAGCGAAATCTAAATTCCTCTTTGGCATTTAGTTTACTATCTGTGAGTGTACCATATCGAAAGGATAAATAATATTGATATTTTATCTTTGCGCTAAAACAGACATATGTAATATTATTGTTTGTATAGGGAGGATTAATAGTGAAGATAAATTGCGTTATGCTATTAATATTATAGTAATCGATGAAACAAGCGACATAAAACGCATAGCCATACACATGCTTGTGAAGCTCAACCCACAGACACACACACACACACACACACACACACACACACACAGAGAGAGAGAGAGAGAGAGACAGACGCACACAGACACACACACGCGCTATAATATAGAAACGTCCAAGTAGTGAAAAAAGTAATGAAAGGGAGCGGCATGAAAACTCATTTAAAAATACAAGAAGTATACGGATGCTGTCCGTATGGAAATCGCAATATGAGTTTCCATCTTATGAGCTCGGAATATTGATGTTTTTGATAGGTGAATAATCAGTTACTTGGAATTTTGCATCGAAACTATTATTATGCTCACATCTTTCGCAGAACGCAAGACGGAGTATTTTAGTAACAAATTCATTTCAAAGTAATATAAATATTAATAAATTAAGCCACTAATATCCATAGCTAGAAGATTTAGGTTTTAAATGACTATTCGTTCCTTTTAAGTTTTTTTTTTTAATTACTTTGGCACAGCATAAAATATGAATGCTTTAAAATAGTTAATTTTTTTTTTTTTTTTTTTTTTTTTTTTTTTAAATTGCTTACATTGTAGATTTATTTGAAAATCTAATTGTTATTTTAAAAATGTGTGAATAACTGTAAGATTTTATAAAAACTTTTGTAAAAAGTAAAAACAAAAATATTACGTATTGAAATCTCGTGGTTATTAGCATTATTTTTGTTATTATATCGATAAAGAATAAATTATAACTTTTTCAATACTGGCTTATCGTAATAATTCGTCCATCGGGCATAACAGATGGTCGCAGTCATTTAATAAATATAAATAAAGAAAATGCTATGTATAATGAACTTTTAAGTACTTCAAACGCACGTAAGAGTAAAAACAATTATGAACAAAAAAATATTGATATATATTATTTTGGTTTGATTATTTCAACATTTATTTATGATACATATATATATATATATATATATGCGTGTGTGGGTGTGCGTGCGTATGTGTGTGTGTGTGTGTGTGTGTTTCGTGCATTTCGCAGATACATCGCAGCAAAGTAATTAATTATTTAATATAATATTTTTGTATGTTTTTTTTTGTTGTGACTTTTTTGACCGGTTGATAATAATTCAATAGGTTACATTAAAAGATATCGTTATACGAGATAAATATATTTATACAAAAATAATCGAGCATATTTTATATTGTTAGAATTATTATTTTATTTATAATTAAAAATACGTATATTTTATTCCTGTTTAATAACATCAATGATTTGTATATGACTGTACAATTAGAAAATTTTACTACAAATGTAAATGTAATGTTCATTTATTTATGTGTATATGGATCATTATATATAACAATACTTGGGTGTATATAAAATTTTATCATGTTTGATTACACATATACACATACGTTTATGTTATAATTACATATAAACTGTATTAACACATAATTATGTTAGTATATACAAATTCTTTTTGTATGACCAACTACTTTATAACGTATGTTATTGTTTAAATACTTGCAATGCACTATCAATTATATGTATATATTATAATTCTTTTCAAACAGTCTATGAAAGTGCCAAAGAATAATATAATTTTAACGACATGTATATTTAATTTTCGTTCATCTTAATTACTTGCTAATGATATTTGAAAAATTCACTAAACATAATTGCATTTAATCTTGGTCATATAAACGATTTCTCGTGTAACGAAGCATCCGGATTTCAAATACCTCAGAGAAGAAACATTCGTTGCTTAAATGCTCATTTTAAATATCTATTTTTTTTTCTTTTATTCCAGTATTATCACACTTAACAATTCTATAATAATTTAGAATCATAGTTTCATTGTAAATGTAATGCACGGCGTGAAATGATTCTTTGGCATTAATAGTATTATTGTTACAGGTTTATCAATAATATTAAGACTAAGTTTTAACGAAAAAGAAATGTTACATATGATAATATATTATATACATCGAGAAAAAATTTAATTTTTAACTATATGATGCTATATATATGATGATATATATATATATATATCATTATATAAATTAATAAGAACTACATTATATTTTGATTGATATTAACAACTTGTAAAATTAAATGAAGTAGGTTGTCTATGAAATCAGAGATGAGCGCTGGACGTTCTACACATTATAATGCAAAAGGATTTACGAATAAATTAAATGAGTATATATATATATATATATATATATATATGCATATATACATGTTTATGTATGCATAATATTATTTAAATATATTCATTTACTTATTACTTAAGACAAGCCTAAAATTTGTAGGTACAAGGGATGATAATACGAAATTACGAAAATCAAATCCTTGGAACTTGATATATTTTTATTCTAAGATATCAAAACTTTAATGAGTGATTTATTATAAATTTTTTGTTATTTAAATATCTATGTGGAGTAATTTCATGCTTTTAATTGAAAATGTATGTATAAACATTGTGCATTTTATCCATTGACACTATGTTATTTTAAATTAATCAAAGTTCCATTTAAGGGTATTTATTATATCTGCAAAATATTAAAGAATTTAAAATAAAACTATTTTTATAATAAACATAAATCATTTTATTCGCATTTTTACTAGATTATGTTAAAAAATGAACTATAAATTTAATTCTGTTTTTGTAAAAAAAAATGTTTGATAGTCAAAACACATTGAAGCGAAAATTTATAAGTTGTAACTATTGTTAATCATTAAATAATTTTTAATTATTTTCTATTTTTAAATGTTAATAATGCAAAAGCGACCGACATTTCTGAAAAAATGAGATCCGTCTGAGACATTAGAAATTTCACTCATCGTTTAAATAAATTAATATTTTGTCTTATATTTTCTTAGTGTAATTTAAATGAGAAAAATATCAAATTTATAAAATATAAATTAGCGAACATTAAGATATACACATATTTCATTTAAATTCGAGAAATTTTCTTTACGAAAACAGCTCCATCGCACTATTAGATATTTAAAGTGTAATAAAAATGTGAAAATTCGAATAACAATGTTGAAGAAAAGGTAGCATAAAAATAGGGTAAATGTATAAAAATGAACAAATATCCTACAACAAATTTCATTTTACACACATCGACTGAACAATTACTGCAGAAATTTTCCATTTCTCAACACATAGTAAGCGAAATATATGGAAAAAAAAAAAAAATACCACGATAAATTCTACAGTGTAATTTGTGGACCATGTTTTTTACACAAACTTGTATTATATACTGGCTTTAATTGTTTTAGATAATTGAAATTTTTTGTCGAACAACTAATTTTAAGAATATAACAATGCTGAAGAATTGAACAAGTCGAAATTCTGTAATTTTAATCCTTCAAAAATTGTTGGTTAAAAAATAAATCTTTAACCAACTCGCTCTGTATATCTTTACGCATTTCAATGATAGAGAGTATTTTATGAATGAGAAAGAATCTATAAAAATAATTAGAGAAATAAATGTATATGTATATGTAATGTCTTAAAAATAATGAGGTATTTAAGTTATTGCTGGTAAATGGAAAATAAAAATTTTCATCCTGTTGGGAAACGAGTCTTCATTATTATCCAAGTACAGACTTAATTATGCAATTCCTTTTTAACTAATTATATACACTTATATTTGTTAAATACCATTTTAATTTGTAATATATTATTTAATATGAGCTTAGGAGCAAATTTAAAAAATGCTTAAAATCCAGATTTGCAATATGCTATTTATGATAAAATACCTTTAGATCTTTGATAACATAAATATTTATATAAAAAAAAAATAGTTTTATAAATTAACTATAAAAAATTATTTGGTTACATAAGCAGCTATAAAGTATTTTCCAAATATAACGATATGAATTTTATTTTCATTTTACTTATCAAGGATAATAGGATGAGATGTATAATGTTATCGATACTATACATAATGAATATCTTTTGGCATTTTTGCATTTTTTACATTAACAAACGTGATAGGTAAAATACAACAAATTAAACGTTTTCTTTTTGGAGCAATTTAAATATTTAGTATTTACACGAACAATTAACTCAATTATGAATATCGGTACAATTTATCGAAATAAGTGTACAATATGTTATCTCGTCATTCTTTATAGGTAATACACACTTGTATTTTTTAATACCTTTCGATATATAAATAATTATTTTTTAACTTGCAGACACGCACTGGTTGTGAATCTATTATTTAATAGAGCGATTTCGTATATTCTAAATATTCGATGGAAGGTAAATTTATTGTTCTCCACATCACACTACTTCCTCGTTTCAATTGTTTTATACTAGATAAATGCCTCCAACATTGTTGCCAATCCGCATAATATGGCATCATTGGAGGTTTACCAGCTGCCAAACTAATTAAATATAAATAATATTATTATTAAAATTTATTTTAAGTTTTCATTATTTTATTGTTAGTTTGTTTGAGTATTTGAATTATTGAAAGTATTTGATATATTATATTTAATAACATTATACGTAGAAATTTTAAATTCATAATATTTATCTGTACGTACGTATGAAATGAGACTAAGGGCTCGAAGCTACAGAAATCTCAATTTTGATATTGATATGTTAAAATTTCCACAGTTTTAATTAATGAAATATTAAAATATTCAATACTGTCAAGTTACATCAGATACATTGATAATTACTTTATCGTAAATTTTTCATAAAATTTTTATAAAATGTGTATACAAAATAGATAAAATAACTTACCCGCAATCATTTACTGCCATACACTGTGTAACAAGTAAGAACGGATAAGTGATTGTAGATGCCAGGAACTAAATAATTAAAAATCATTTTATTTTCAAAGCAATACATAGGATTATCTAATCTTACTTATCTTAACATTATATATATATATATATATTCTAAAAACAAGTAGTATGAAAATATTTAACTTACTGACATAGTTGTATAAGTAAAAGCTCTCAAGTCATCTTTAATTACATATTTGTTAATATAATATGTTGATGCACTAACTAATGCTAGTGTAATAGTATGACCAATTATTCTTGGTATAAATCCAGAATAAAATCCAGACAGTCCATTAACTTTATAAATTTCTTTTACCGATCCTAACAGTGTACTAAAAGATAAAGATAATACGTCATAATATCTTTGGCCATTTAATTAAAGAAAATAAAATATAGAAATAAACAATGAAAATGGAACACTATAAATTATAAATAAAATCAATTGGATTATTCGATAGATTTAATTTCATTTACTTACACATATTTCGTTTCTTTTCCAACAAATTGAGCCATCATTCTTACACAAATTACGTCAAAGGGGTGAGTTACAATTAAACCAACTGTTCTTCCAACTAAATTTTTCAAAAATTCTTGAGCATAATGCTTATCCCTTATAGAAAAATAAAATTAATATATTATTAAAATATAAAAATTTTAATATAATACCTTAGATTATCTTCTAAATCATCAACAGACACATCATTGACATTTAATTCGTCTTTAAATGTTATTGATTCGATACATTTATTACTTGTAACACTGTAAATACAATATGCCCAACATTTTGGTACAAATCCTTGATAACATCCTGCGACGCCATCCACGCGTTTGATATGATTGACTATAATAAATGTTAAATAATTTTTCATACAATATTATTGACATTCGTATTAAATTTGAATGAATATTTTTTATGTAAAAAAACATTACTTTATTTATATATATTTACTTTATTCAATATATTATATTTTGAAAGAAATTTTTGAAAGACAAATCTCTCAAAAATTTTAACTGCTTAAATTAATTTATTTAACGAGTTTTTTTTTTAAACAAAACTTATTGACTTGAATATTTGACTTAAATAAAATACAAATATTTCAATAAAAAAAAAAAATAATAAAATAAGAAAAAAAATCAATAATTGAGTTTTAATAATTTATTTTTCTTATAATTACTTTAACTATTCAAACATTGAATCACGACATGACAAAATAAAAGAAGAGTTTAATTTTGCAAAATTAAATGAATGAAATCAAATTTTACACGTATAATAGGCGAGAAACAACATACTTTCCATACTTACTGTATTGGAAAATATTTGGTAAGGCTAAGGCTGGCTTTCCCCAAAAAGTTGTCGACGGCCAAGGTGGAATAGGTTCATATCCAATCTAAAAGTTACACGAATGGGCACTTTCTTTTATTAATAATAATAAAAATATTAATTTTGGTTCTGAAGCATACATAACCTTTGAGGAATTATTTTTTAGGATTGCATAAACAGGCTAACCTGAATTAAAAATTTAGCATAATCGAATGGATGTGCAACAATATTAAATATTATACGACCAGCGAAATTTGACCACATTGGCTCATTTTTTTCCAAATTATTCTTCATTGTTCACTAGTAATGGAATAAAATTATCTTTCTTTCTGTTATGACACTGGATACAAACGTGCAATTAGCGATTTCTGATTATTCGATTATGAGTTACGCGACATGCAAAGCACAAGCACACTATTGATTAGGTTACACCATACTATTAATTTACATAATAATAATAATGATTAATGATTAATGATTAATGATTAATAATAATAATAACAATAATAACAATAACAATAATAATAATAATAATAATAATAGTAACAGCAGTATGTGTTTAGTTTTGTTACTTAATCACGTGCGAACCGGCTTGTGATTTAAAAGAATATCTTACAATTACGAATTTGCAATTTATAAATACATTAAAAATTTTAATTACTTATGCCTTCTATTTATACAAATTTTCTGCAGTTACGATATACTAACAATGTAAATTATAAAAAAAAAAATGAAATATCGGATAATTTGAAATATAATTATTCATTCACAACGAATGATAAATATTAAATAATAGTGCATAAATATCACAACAAAAATTCAATATATCTTATAAATATGATTAAATGCATCACATAACTTAATAATAACTATTCCAATAATTATGAGAAATTTATGAAGTTCATGTTGATTATGAGATAAAAAAAACTGTTTATGAAACAGTTTTCAAATAACATGATTCGTTATATAATTATATTTTCATTCATTTAATTCTTGTTTTTATTTTTTGCTTTTATCAGAGACATAAATATACATATATACATATATACATAATAATATGTTTTAATGTAAGATTTCAATTACGTTATTATACCGAATGAATCATTTTTAAATTCATAAATTATTTATTAATCATCGGCTCTCAACTACGCCGATACTTTCACAATTAAACATTATTTTACGACGATTTGATAGCATTTTATTATAGCTTTTTTATTTCACAGAAACAATAAAGTTATTAACATTAATATTTGCTGTTCAAAAATAAACTTTTCAATTGGTTTCAATATACATTTGTAAATATTTTATTAATATTATGAATAACCGCGTGTGTTTGCGCGAAATTCAATGTTTGAACACTCGTTAATCGAGAAATCTAATAAAGTAATAACAATATAATAATAAATGGTTTTCAAATTACTTTTGTATATTTATGCTGTTAAATTATACAAATGATTACTATTATTTACATAATGTCATATTAATATAACGATATCTTTTTATACAAAAAAAAAAAAAAAAAAAAAAATTAATTATGAAAACAATATTCTACCGAGAATTTTTTCACAAAAAGAACAATTATATTCTTATGCTTAATTTTTATACGTTAATTTAATTTAATTGGAATTAACTTCAGTTATATTAAAATTTTTAATAACAAAAATGCGTTAAAATTTATATAAAGATTATGATAAAAAAAATAAGTAAAGCGCGTATGGATACCGAAATCGTCGCTCGTACGAATAAAATTGTATATTTCAATTGAATGTTTTAAACGTTTAAACTATTAAGAACTTCGATATACCAAATAGTAAACCTTAAGTAATGAAAATATTTAAATGCAAAATATTAATAATCGATATCATAATTGTTTAATAGTTATATAACAAATGAATAAGGAAATATTATTTTTAGTTAGGAAAAAATAAAATATTTACGAAAAATTTTAGTTGCTAATTTTTGTTTCATGTTAATCATCGATACAAATAAATAGTTTGACTTTTTCATAATCTCTAGGTATAGTACACTTTTACTTTTTCTTTTCTTTTTTTTTTGGCACGGCTTCGTTGAAGCTGCACTGGCATTACGGAAGATAATTTCCAATATTTTTGGACTTTTTGTTCATCTAAAATGTCAAGACTATATATGGTTCGAACTAATAATTAAGGCACGATATTTATATTATGGATTATATAGGCCTTTACTTACGAAAAGCGTGCTTTTCGTCTCTTCGTGTATTTCTTCCTTTATGTTTATACATTATTTTTCGAACGTCCCAAATACTATAAAATGCTACATGATAATATATAATAGTAGATTCGTGTATTGTAGTGTCATTGCCAATGTATCTATATATATATATATCAATTGATATAAAGCTTGTAAGCTTTTAAACGATCGCAGCTTAATCTACAATTATGCATTATTAATTTAGCAGGTGTTTTTTTTTTTTTTTTTTTTTTTTTTTTTTTTTTTTTTATCATGAACGAGTTCTTCAAATTAAATAACAGAAGTTATTAATGGGTTGCTCAAATTTTAAATAAAATTTGTCGTTGTTGTATTAACGTTTGGTAGAAAGAAAGTTCTTTATGAGATAATGAAGGAATAATGATTTTATCCTTAATTGAAAATAATAATTATAAATGTAAAATCTTTCTTCGGCAAAGCAACACATCGATTCCTGCACAATATTATTTAGGAACCGCAATATAAATCAGTTGTCTTCTTGAAATATGGGAAAAGCTTTTACAATTGACTTTCTATTACATTATGAATAAGCAATAGGTGGCAACCAACATTAATAGTGTATATTGATAATAGCTAAGGATAGTTTTTATGGAACGGTATATTGTATTCATTATATATGAAACGGTGTCTTATATAATAGTTATGTTTTTATTTACTTGCATTTTTGGTCACTTCGAAATATACAAATTAAATGGAAAATTATTAATTTTGCTCGCGCACGTATCGTCTCTCACATACTCATCATCTTTATTCTACAAGTTTTATTCTACAAAGGCAAACAAAGTGTGCCTAATCGATTCTATCAAATTAAGTACAAAAGGTTTTTTTTTTTTTTTTCATCTGTTACCGTACTTCTAATCGCAGATCTTATTATCTAGGACAAAAAGCATATAATAGATTTTAGTAAAATTATATTTTTATAAAGTAAAGGTGATTTTTTTCAAAGTGCACGTAATTATATCTATTTTGAATTTGATCCAAAGATGTATTTTTCCAAAGTTCAATACATTTTATGTATCACTTGGATGTTTACAATTACTCAATTGTTCTGCTTTAGTAACGCTCTTTATTTGATTATAAGAGGCAAAAGTTAATCTGGTTGATCGCTAATATTTACAAAGTTTGAATTTTCATGAACAAAGGAAAGAGTAGACAAATATAATGTAAAACTAGAAATTGTAAATTATGTCGCACTAATTCAACATACAAGATCAGCGTAACTTCGTTATAATATTTAAATAATTTTAACGTGTTAAATATGTACCAACACGGATATTTTCTTTTTATATAAATTAAACAAGACAAAGTTTTGCGTGAATCGTACAATTAATTATCCAATAAAATGATCCATCTTTATCTCATCATTTATAAACTGTTGACTCATAATACTTTGATTGGATATACAGTCATTGACTTGGGTAAAAAA